AATTAAACAGCAGGTGCAACCAATTCCATGGAATATAACATAGGCACAAGACCCGATAAGAAGCAGGCATATAAGTTTGGTCTTATGTCATGAAGATTATGTAAATAATTTGTGCCTTACATCTTGAATATACTTCGCTTCTATTGGTTGGCAGGCAAAGTGCATGCCTGACACATGACCACAATCCTTAACGATTAACCATGGCATCAATGGGCTACAGGCCCAAAGGATCATACATAACTTGCATACTATTTTTACATGCCATCTAAATTCTTATTTCCATGATCTATATTAAAGAAAATTTTCATAGGATTATCAAAATTCAAACATAGTACTTGCAAATATCGCCCAAAAAATTCATTATTTTCAAAAGAAAACAATAGTTATAATAATAAAAGGGAGAACATGTGATTCTCTCTCTACCCATCCCTTTTTCTGTAGGCCATTAAGTTCCTTTTCAAGTGGCCAAATTTTGGTGGAAAAAGAACAGGAATTTTTTGGGGAGCATTTGAATAACTAAGGGGAAGTTGCATTCTCCTCCATATGAAGAAAATTTATACGTTGGGAATATCAGCCAGAAAGATAATCGTTCTTCATTGCAGATGGTTAAGGACATTTTCTAGAAAACCTAATTCTCTTCGGTATAGAGTGATTGATAGCAAAAATGGGAAGGACTTCATGGGAAAATTAACACAAGGACATTCACGTTCCCATTCTTCCAATATAATTCCATGGACTCACATTGCTAACTTGTTCCAGTGTTTGATCCATTCTCTAAATTTCCATTGCCATGGGTAGTGCTAGTGGTTCTTTGAACAAATTTTAGAGTAAGGGGCTAACTTGAGAGGAGCTCCAGTTCAAGACTTACGGCCTACAGGATCAAGGTGATCTTTGTTGGGGGTTGCATTTGATAGGAAGATTGAAAGATGATGATTTTTTTATATATAGAGTAGAAATACTTTTCATTTACTTAGTGAGAAGTACATCAAAATGTGAACGAAAATGCCATTGGTTTTCCAATGGCTTGATACAAATGATGTTTTTCAATAAGAAACAAAAGAATATATTACTGAACAAAGATTACAAAAGGGGAGATGAGATGTCCCCAGACAGCCAAATGGGTTACGGAAAGAACTCCCGATTGACCATAATATGAACAAGATGTAATTACATAAAGAATTGCAAAGAGCCAAACGGTATCCCATAACTCATTGAGACTACACATTTTCTCTTTGAAATGATGTTGTTTAAAGAAGTTAGTGTTTCCTCTATATTGTTCCAAACGGTGTGTTTTATTTAGAAAGAATGAAAAGAAAAAAAACATGTCAAATACAAATTAGTCCAATTCTCATAACAATCATCAGAGTAGAAAGCAATATTCATCTCCAAGACTTTTTTTTTTTTTTTTTTGGGGGGGGAAGGCACACTCTCTGATGTCTCTTCATACGTACAACAAATCCTACATAGAAGTAAGTCAGGAACTGTATGCACAACTCTCATAACAACCAAGGCAAAGTCGAGCAATAAATTGTAAAATAATATGTATGTTTCCAATTAAAAGTAATAAGCATAATAAGCATAATGGAAAAGGGAGTACCTCACAAGAAAGAAGATGGTCCATAATATCAATAGTGCACTGAACATCAACTGTTCCATCAAAGCTCAGAGGAATTGGCGCGGCACCATTCTCAATAGCTTCATCAACAGAATAGTACTTACATATCATACCCGAGTCCATTTTTGGATCCATTATCTACTAAAATGGCAAATTCAAACCAATCAGCAACATGTGGGTATAAAGGGAGGAGAAAAGAAAAAAACAAGAGAAACATAGTAAATGAAAATAGTGCCACAATCCTGACCAGCAACATGTTGGAAGTAGGGGCATCCAAGCATGCACTACCTATACAGGGCCTTTACGATTGAGGGTTTTCCAAATTCTAGGAAACGTATAAATATGACCATTTAAATATGACTAGCTAAAAATACATGCCGCCTTCCATATAACAGTCTGATAGGTTGTGACCAGATAAAATCCACCCATAATTTGTAGTATCTCAAAGACATATATATACCAAAGTAAGGATGATAATAAAGCATCAAAAAGTGAGAAAATCTTCCAAGAAATGCATACAAGTTCACTTCTAAGAACGTTGTTGAACAGAGAAAATCCGAACAAATTCATCTACCCAATGCATTAAAGTCAAAGCATGAAACTAGACAGCATCAGCCCATAATGAGTAAGGTCGCATATTTATAAAAATACCATATAAAGGATGATAAATAAAACATCAAAAAGTGAAGAAAACCTCAAACCAGTCCAGTGCAGGTTTGCTTTACTGAGCACATTATTGAACATCATCTTGTAGATTACAACGTTAAAAAAATAACAAATAACAAAGGGGAAAAAAGCTCAAACCTTATTTGAAACAAAGATATAGGTTTCGTACAAAGTCCACCATTATGAATAGATAATGAATGTAAAGAAAACACCAAATATTCATTTTTTGCAAACGCATAAATGTTTTTCGTACAAACTAAACTATGAAGCAGTACCTCTAATGCAGACATGGCAGAAAAAAGATTGAAGTTCTCCCCATGAATAAGTTCTCCGTCTTGAAGATCTGAAACAAGATATACTTTGTAAAGATGGTTGTAAGGAAAAAATGGAATCCAAAAACGACAACATATGCAGTTATTCAAGTTAATTAGGACAAGTACAAAATTGAGTATCAATGAGTAAGTTTCGATCACAGAAATATCAGTAGAAAACAAACAGAATAAATTAACAAAATAATGAACGAAATTGAAAACTTTGTAATAATATGAAATATAAATAATTAAATACATCAACATAGAACTAGATCAACACGCCATTCTTTTAAATGAATCTACTTAATTGTTCCAATTCAATTCTTTTATGCAGTAAAGGATTAAATGTCTCTCCAATGCTGAGAAGGTGAAAGAAGTTATGAGATGAAATACAAGCAGTGATAAATTGCAGCTAGGGAGGGCAAATTTTTGCACATTGTTGAATGCAATTTTTTCTTTTTCCTCTTTTTAGTTCGACAATGTGAGGTATGGGATACAAACTTTCGACATTTTGATCGAAGATATTATGCCTTGACCAAGTGAGTTATGATCTTGTTGAATGAAATATTGTTCGGAAGGAAGGTAAACACAAAAATAAGAATTTATTTCTGCTTGGTATTAGTATGAGCTACAAAAACAAATGAACCAACCCCAAACTCTAACGCTCAACAAACAATACCATTATCACAGTCAAACCCTGTCGTTATTTACATCCTCTGGCAGCGTAATTATAAAAACTCAACGCAATTCCAAGCCTCCATTTAACTTAAAACCATCAGATGGCTGAACTGAATATAATCAATTTCCCTTTTCCCGCTCTAATATTTGATCTTTTCTTGTAAAGCCAAACAAAGCAATGTTCTTAGTCTCATCTCTAATAACCGATCAAACTAGGCCACACGTCCAAACACAAAGATTTAAGAAACAAAGCTAATTTCACTTTCATCGCACCGTCAGCTAATCAACTCAACTTAAGTAAACCAATCAACGCCATTTCGAATCGCAAAAAAACAATAATAATAATAATCACACGAAACACAATGACACAACAAACAACATCTAACTCCTCAAACGAAGCAATCACAATGTCTGATGCAATAAGAAAATGCAAATAAATAAACAACAACCTCCACAAGCAGCTTCGAGAAGAGGCGACACATCAGCCCAGACAGTGTGTTCGCCGGAAGGAATAGGAGAGGACATTTGAGGTGCATGAGCGCCCACAGTTCGCTCTTCTGCTTCTTTATCAGCCATCGATGGCGGCTCGAGTTCAGAAGCTTTGATCTTCGGGTCTTGGACAAGTCGTCGTGTAGAAGAAGCTCTGATGTAGGAGGAGGGTGTCGGTCTCCCCAGCAGCAGGAGGGAGGCTTGGTTTAATTTGATGACCAGCTTTCGGAGTAGTTTAACAGCCTGTGTCGAGGGAGTAAGCTGAAATAGGCTTAGGGCTTGACTTTGTATTGTAGCTTCTTGCCTGCACGCGGATCAATAATTAGAACGTGAACCCAAGGAGAAGCCAAAATTACAATCGCCAATTCCACATAAAATTACGTAATTAGTCTTTTCGTAATTAAAATGAATTTGTCATTTATTTTGTGTTTTATATTATTTGAATCGCTTTTCTGTCACTTTTTTTAATTATAAATAATAAAATTATACTCCCTTATACTATATGAATATTTATTTATTAATATCAATATTAATTTTTTATTTATAAATACTTATGAGTTCATAAATTATCTATTCGTGAAAATTTCACATAATTAATATTATAATCAACTTAAATATATAAAGACGTGTATGACTTATAAACTTTAATGTGAAAGAGATAGACTTCATACAAGAAGTGAGGAAAAATAAAATTATACTAATGATTGAAATTCGAAAATTAGACTTCTTTTCAAAATTATTAAATTTAAAAGTTTGATTAATATAATTATCCATATGCATGTAAATATTTGGAATATTTATTCATATAGGTATGAAATTTCAAATTATACTATATTTATTGTTTAATCAATATAACTCTTAATATTTGGCAATTAAATGATTTTTTGCCCATAAATAATAATAATAATAATAATAATCAAAAAGCCATTGCATGTCGCGTTGCCTTGGCATGGGTAGTTTGGCAAATTTCGCTCTTCTTTCTTTTCTTTTCTTTTTTTTGTCTGTTTGAAGGTTAAAACACTAACTATTTATTTAGCATAGCTTCAAGTTCATAACAATGTAATCATAAATTAGTTTTAAAATTTTAAAATTTATCATAATTAAAATTGCCAAACAATTTAATATTTGTATTTTGTTTGAGAATCTCAATAATTTAAAAATATTCTAAATTATAATAAATAAATAAATAAATAAATAAATAAAAAGCAATCAACCCAAAATTAGCTGATGTATTATTTTATTTTGTAATATTATTAATTGAAAATAGAACGGTACAAACAATGTACATAATATGAAAACATATCATAAACTTGCCCAATAAACAAACTTTCATTAATTTTTACAGTAACAGCTACCATGAAAGCAGTAGCAAGCTAGAAGACACTGGAATGACAAAAATACACAAGCTGCACACAACTGAGATTCAGCTTCTTTGTTTTTTTTATCCAAAAAGGTGGCCAATTGTTATTTCACCATTTTCTTTTCTTTTTCTTTGTCTTTTTTTTTAATTTTTTTTTTATAATGGCCGTTGAAGACGATCAGAAACGTACCAGAAGAGCTTAGTTCCAACTCCAAGCATTAGAAATTTTCTAGCCTTTGAGAAGTCCAATGGTCTCCAAGGAAGCTCGAATGTCAGCACTGCTAGCCTCTTCAGAAGCCTGTGCAATATTTGCAGAATCAACCGGAACAACGTCTGAAAGAGGGTAACTTCTATTAGCATGGAGCTGGTTGGCTGCGCCGTTACAAACGCCCTTCAGAACCACACTTTTGTGCACTCCACCAAGTAACCCTTCGTAATCTGTGTCCCCACTTTCGCCAACAAACACAACCATTTTTGATAGCTCCGTCCCCCATCGAACATAAAGATACCTGACACAGTTAAATGGTTAGGTCCTCAAACCTTATCGTAAAGAAAAAGGTCATTGTTGTTTCATAGTTTCTATGTTCCCAGACATTTAAATTGCTCCTTTCCAGCAGAATCCTCACTGCTTATATAATTCAAGACATATCGGGGCCGCAGAGTTGTAATTTCTCACAGGATTACCACATGCATCTTCCAATATCCATGGTTATAAAATTCATGAAGAAAACTAGAATATTGAGCAAGAGATTTAGTAAGAAAATATACAAGACCATGCACCATAAGTAACAGTACCTGAGAGCCTGGGAACGAGATGCCAATACTGGGATTATATTTAGCCTGGTTCCATTCTGAGAATAAACAGCATGACATCGCAGAGCTTGAATTCTCAGTGATTTTCTGAGTTCCTTAACTGCTGGAATCTGCATAAAAGCAAAGGAAATTCTTGACTTATAAACTCCTGAGACATGCAATCAACAAGCGATGCCTCTAAATGAAATACATATAGCAATAAAAAAAATTATAAAAAAAATCACGTCATCAATAAAAGTTCGAGAATTACCGCATCAGGCTTCCGAACATTAAAAGTGTAACAATAATTTGTTGAAAGTTGTTCAGCTGAAGTTACAATTTTTTCCTCCGTGTTAGTGTTCTTATCAGAGACCGAAGAAGCCCATTTAACTAGAGTTTTCCTTAATCCTTCTCCACCCCATCGATATTCGATGTGTGAATGGTAATAGAAGTCGACCACAAATGGATCATCTTCTAGATTTGTGGATGAATAATAAAGATCACTGCCACTATTGCAAATGAAGGCATCAAAATCATTTGCGTGGTAGCCCCCTGAGACCAGAAATGAATTTACTTCAGAAATGGTCAACGATGTAGAGAGAATAAACCCTATAGTGCCTTCATTCCTTTCCTTCTCCACTGCCCCAAACAACTTTCTCGTGGTATCAACGAGACCTGCAATACTATCACAATCCACTGCAATAACAAAGAGATGTTTTCTCCTCCTTAATGCTGGAAACTTGCCAACATTTGCATTTTGATCAGCTTTTTCCGCGACTGATTTTCGTGTATCCTTTGAAACGCCCTTTGACCAGCTCAATACAGCATTCTCTAATTTATTTGTTCTATCAGCAGCGTTTCCTTCTGACTCAAGAGATCTATCAATTCCACTACTCTTCTCAACATCTAATGAAAACTTCAGGTTTAGAGAAATGTCTTGTATATCTCTCCACGAATCACCGGGTGAACCTGATTCTGAGTTATCATCTTCATCTTCATTTCTTTGCCAATGTGGATACCTCGGTTTGCAACTAGCAATTCTTGATAGATATGTCTTACAATGCTCTGGCCATGAAAATAGGTGAATATTCTTCAAACCATTTTGCCGGCATCTAGCCCAGAGGTGCTTGTCTGCAACAAGCTTCAGAAGAGCATCAGCAATAGACTGTTGATCGTGTGGATCAATAAGAAGACCATTGTCGAGCACCTGCACAACAAGGTGAAGCATGAGCACCAACGCTTCTAAGCAAATTTTTATGGCTAAAAGCAGGCATACCCGATGTATATCAACAGGGCCTCCATTTTTTGTAGCAACAATAGGTAAACCATGAGCTGCCGCCTGATAAACAAAAGTGCAGATAACTGGTTAATAAAAAAAATGCTACTTGTGAAAAGGAAAAGTATGTAAAGAATAAAAATCACCTCAATTAGAGTGAGTCCAAATGGCTCAATGAATGCTGGATTTATAAAAACGCCCTGCAAATCGTAAGTAAGGATTCCAACTTAAAGGATCAGTGTTCACAGAAAAAGCAGAACGCCACAAGAACATTCCAGGCATGAAAAAGAACAAAAAACGCCAAGAATGTACAAGAGAAGATATCCCAAAATTCAGAATGGACAGTACTATAATCCACTAGTATTTAAGAGCATGATGATGCAAATTACAAATATTAGCCACTGGCCTCCAAAAAACTTAATGAAGTGCATATCATATTTCTCAAAGAAAGCCAGTCAACGTTTAGTGTGAAAAATCTCCTTCTTAAACCATTTTCCAAAATTCAAAGGATTCTTGCTAAATATCAAATTGACAAATAGTCTTGTGAACCTCAAAATGCAGTATGTATGTGCATGAAAGAAACTACTTAAAAACAAACTAGGCACAGCACCCACAAATCTACGTTGATGGCCAAAAAAAATAATAATGAATTAGTGTCCATGGTTCGAAAGCCATTGTAACGGTACCTGGAAGAAAAATATGACTTAAGAATTAGCAAGGTGCAGTGAGTGTATGATATTTCAGTGGAGTGTGCACATGAAAGAAACTATATAACTCAACTAATCAGCAAGCTGTAAATGATAAAATAATAGTTGGAGATAATATCTGGAGAATTTTAGTCAATAGTGTAAACGGGTCAAGAGAGATAAAATCAACTCAATGTTTAGTCTGAGAGAATACAGAAGGAATACCTTGGTTTTTGCTGCCAGACGATATATGTCAGGAACATCAGCTTGTTTGTGATGTTTAGGGTATGCCACTTGTCCATACAAATCATATTTGTCAATAAGTTTAAGCACTGAGAGAAGGACAGATGCATTTGTACTTGACATTTCATCAATTCCTTCTCTGTTACCCATAATTAGCGTCTGCAATGTATGAAGAAAAGTCACGGATAATTAACATGGCAGCAAACAGCATCAAGAAGATTGCCTGATCAATTATAGTCCTTTTAGGATTCCACGTACAAGGTTTGCAAGCTCCCTAAGTGGCCGACATTCTCCAAATGCTTTGACCAAAGTTGTGATGTTCTTCTTTGGATCTGGTCTAGCAAGGGCAAGAATCATGGGCTTACGAGGATTAGTGAAGAACCGCATTATCTGCAAATGCCAGAAGATAGGGTTGAACTATTAAGAAACCAGGATGAAATCTTCAAACAGCTAACTGTCCATATCCACAATAACTTAAAGTAGAAGCATGGTAAAAAAACATAACCTCAAACCAGATAGGTGGATCTGACAAAGCAGGGTGATCCTCACTTCCTTCTGTCTCAACGTCCATATCACCTTCAAGAGGAACAATATGATGGAACTCCATCCCAGGGGGAATTACCTGCAGAGAAGAAGGGAATTTTTTTTATACATCATATGAAATAAAAGTTGTCAAGGGCCCAACAAGCACAAACTTTTGAGATTAAGATGCAAGATGAAAGAAAATGAAGGGAAAAAAAACAAACAAGAAGAAGAAGACAAGTAAACTATAATGTCCCAAATTCTGATCAAATGCCGAGATTTTCCTGGCAGCACTTAATGTAAAAAATGGTTAAGATGAAAAGGGAATATTAAAGAAAGATGACAGTGAACGATATTACTAGTAATAGCTGCAATTACCATATGACTCTGAAGCACATTCTATTTATTTCTTCCAGTTTATGTTCCTCCAATATAAAACTATTTCAGACAGTCAACAAACAGAGCTAGCCTGCATCAGGCATGCAGTCAGACAACAATATGGCTTTGTTTGTAATTGTTGCAACTTTTAAAATAATAGAAAAATCAGTGGTCACACCGAAGAAAATTAGTGTTTGGTAAATTTTAACTTTATATTTGAAAAAGTAGATCATAATGTTTGGAAAAATAATACAAAATTGTTATGATCTGGCTAAAATGACCAAAGTAGACACTATTTCAATTATTTTTATATTAATATTTAACATCAATTTCATTATAAATTAATGGTTCAAAACTTTATATAATTTAAATTACAAGTTTGATAAAAGTTTAGGAAATACAGTTATAAAAAAATTTGAACCAATCAAAATTTTACTGATAAAGGGTGTAGATGTGAAAGGAAAAAAATATACATATAGACGGAAACTTAAAATTTTAGTTCCAGAGTATGAAATTATTTTTTGGGAAAGCTGTTTTTAAAAGCTACTGGTAGGTTGATTTGGTGATCTTGCACCTAAGAAGAAACTTAAAAAGATAAATGAATGAATAATTAGTATTACCAAACAAGTAGAACAGTTAAAATTCTTTCATAATTTCATTTGTACCTTGTAAAAGCAATCCCAAACGCACCCTACATCACGCCATAACAATGAAATTTGTGTACAATTAGATGGAAGATTTTATAATGCGTGTACCTCAGAAGTTAGAACTCAATATTTTGTTTGATGAGAAAGGACTGCAACCTATCAATATGACTCAAGACTCAAATTTAATCAATATCAAATAAAGAATGGGAAACACTAAATAAACATGAAAATAGCATTAATCTCATCAAGCATTAAACGTGTTGAAGGTCAAATTTATTGCTTAGATGCATAAAACTCAACATACAAGCATGCAGACATTTCAATAACTTACCGCCATTCGAGGCATGAATCTGCCGTAACAACTCACGTTACGCTTGATCCTAGCACGTAGTTTACGTTCCAAGATTGGATCAAACCCATCATATAATCTCCATTGCTCTTCAATTTCCTGTCTAGTACTAGTAATAATTATTTCAGAGGCATCAAGAGCTAATTCTTCAGCCTCTATCCGCCGCATTATTTTGTATGTTGAATTTATCTCATCCCTTGTCAATCGACCCTGTTTTAGTAATTGCTCCAATTTATCCCGACCTAATGAGTGGCCAGTAAAAAGCATTGGAACATTTAAAGCACCAGAGAGCAGTGCAGCAGAATCCCCCGCATCAGCATAATGCCCATGGATTGCAACTGGCCAGACTGGATTCCCCCCACCAATCTGCTCACCAAGAACTTTAGACATCTGGATGACATGGCTAAGTGCACCGTCAACAAATTCAGGGATGTGAGGCCACAGAAGTTCTTTAGGAATATATTTATCTCTTGGACCAAACGGTATCCGAATAATATAAGCACCACTGCTCTCGCCCATCTCACCTACCAAGCCTTCTGAACTAGTAGGAGCCAGCATTTCTGTAGGTTCTGCATAGCTCCAATCTACATCTGGGGATGATACTTGTCTAGTGAGCAAATCTACCCGATACACGCCAGGCATTGATCCCAAGGCCCTAGCAAGTTCCACTACATACTTAACCTAAACCAAGTGGAGAAGTAAATATCAATCAGTTATGCAGTTCTATACATTTAGAAAATGAAGTGTTATATAATTCAAATTTATAGAGACAGACTGAAACAAATATTACCTGACCACCAGTATCAGAATCACGGCCAAGCTCCATGTTATCCCCCCTTATCAGACCATGAAGGCTGCACAGCATTGATCACCAATGTTAATGACATGGGTAATAAGGGAATTATTCTTTGGCAGTTTAAAGATAGCTATACAAATCTACAAGCACTTCAAAGGTAAATGTAATGCAAAGAAATAGGAGACTATATTTGCCTTAGCTGAAGTAAAAGTATGCTTGATAAACCAAGTGAATATGCATAACTTGGCAAGTTTGCAACAATAAAAGAATTGTAACAAAAAACAATTATATCCAAAAGAAAAGAAAATTCTTGCTCTTGCCTCACTAATACAATATATAGCTTTTTCCCCTTTTGTTGACTAGCCCACACCTCCATTGCATCAACAGAGCTGATTCTCGGCAGACGTGTTTTGGCGCTGTCTCCATGAACCGGTGTATCACCGACCACTTCTCCTTTCTCTCCCTCCGATAAATCTTCAGACATATCAGCTGTTGCTTCTCTTCGACCTTTTTCGCGTTCAAGACGACGTTTAGCCATCCTCTGGGCTTCCTCTCCTTCAAGCTATAAAACCATAGAATTCATAACTACTAGTTTTGAACGTAACATGATTTCCGTTTTCCAATTTAACCGTCACCTTTATATAATTCAAATTCAGCATAACAGAAATGCATTGGGGATAATCCTTCCGACAGTTGTTAATGTATAAAAGACTACAAGTTCTGTCAATTTTATTTTATGCCCGGTAATTTTCGCAAAATATAATTTAGAACACTCGCATGAAGGTGCACAGGACATAATCACAATCTTCATACAGGAAACGATGAATGAACTCGAGAATGCAGCCAAATAGTAGGCAACAAATCTTAGGGAAAGAACGAAGAGAGGACGAGGTTTCTCTCTCTCTCTCTCTCTATATATATATATTTTCTTCAGGTGGCCTATGATGCATGCGAATCATCCACATAATCTGCGATTATTGGAGTTCTTAAAAAAGAAGACGGAACCTGCTTCTTTTGTCGAGCTAAGTTCCAAATCCTCCAGCACATATTCTCCAACCTAGTATTCCTCTCCTGGGGACTTCGGGTGGCTGCAGCCTTGAGCGAACAATCATGACAGCAACAACAACCATAACAAGCAACTCAAGATCAGAGAAAGAAACGCCATAGTTTGATAAATCAAGCATGGAAGTAAGTAAATGATTGATTACCTTAACCCACGAGCGGTATAGATCGCTCTCATCGAAGCCGGTGATGACCTCCTCGACGAAATACCGAGTGGGACTGAAATGTCCTCTCTCTCGGAGAAGCAGCGACGGCGATGGCTTGGCAGACTTGGCTTCATCTATACCAGGTCCAACGTCCAGAATTGCCTCCAAATAGCTATTAATCCAATCATTTCCAGCCATTACGCCTGAAAGTTGAAACCTCGATTCCTATCTCCCTTCTTCCTCCGTCCAGAGAGATTTAACTCTCAGAAGAAGAAAAAAATGTGTGAAGGAAGGCAGACGAAGATGATTTATATGCGTGGAAGTTTGTAAAATCAGAGCCTCAGAAGTTTTAAATCAGTAGATTTTGACAATCGAGACTCAAAAAGATGATGAGATGCGTAATTGGCTGTCGTTTTCTTCCCTAGTGAGCGCGCTAAAAGCTCCACCGCTGTCATCGGCCCTGCATTTCACCATTAATACTCCTAGCTTCCGTGAATTTCTATATGAATCTCAGTTTTTTCGTTGCGATAAATTTCGGTAACTCCACATCAATGCCCGATATCAATTCATCGACTTCAATCCAATGGTCACCAACAAATTTTGTAATTGACACCTAAATTTCCAATTAATTAATTGTAAGAGGTTATTATATGTATATATAAATTTTCTTTTTGAGACAGTAAGACCTCTTACTTACACCTCACTATAATTAATTATTTTAATATTAGTAATGCTTCTCCATTATACTTTTTTATTAGGACATTTCTCAAATATATATATTAAGAAAAATACCTTTCACATCAATAGGGTCGTCAAAAAGGTCACAGAAATAGTTTTTGGGTGTCATGACGTATTTTTTTAATTAATAAAATAAGATATATTTATACATTTATAATTTACGCAGTTTCCCACTTTTTAACGTGTACTCTTATATTATATTTTTCTCTATTCTTTTTTAACGTATAGTTTTCCCTATTTAATTTTACTTTTTATATATCTTTTTTTTTTTTGTAAACTTTTTATTTTCTTGCTCACTATTTAGTTAAGTTGTGACATAAAAGACGAAACTGACATGACATATCTTGAAAGTTAATGTATTGTCATTTCTTTTTGCAAATAAATGTGTTGTCATTTCGACCACACACGTAAATATAATATACCAGGTTGTTTTATTCTTGTTTATGAAATTTTAATTTAATCTCTTATATATTTTAGATTTTATTCATTTAAATTTTTAAATCAAAATAATTTATTTAAAATTTTTCAAAATGACCCACTATATGTTGATTTTCATTTAATATGTGTTTGATGAGTTCTTATTTTATCTATTAAAAAATATTCCTAAAATTTAGAATTTTAATATAGAAATTAGGAGAAGTAATTAATTTATGTTGCCTAATTAACCGATTAAATATTCTTCTAAGATTTTAAAATACAACTCGAACCATTGTTTTCACAATAAAATGACATGCAACAAAGGAGCCAAATAAATCCAAACAAAACAACCTAATTACCTCAGTTTTGAGAATGATGGGTATTTCGATTGATGCCAAACCTTTCGAATTTTTGAGTGTGACAAACTTTAATTCATGTGAACTTTATCTTTAATCTTTAAAGTAATACTTTTGCATTTTTTTTTTTTTAATAAATTCCAATAACCAACCATTTTGATTATATTGTTCTTCATTTTTCATTTAATTAAACTAATTATTAAAAAATCATAAAATATTTTAAGTTTGTGATGTTATTTAAATGAAATGAATGGAGAAAATTAAAGTATTTTCACTTTTCGAATAAAGCTCTTTCAAGAAAGGTGGTAAAGATTTGTTCCCGAACATATTCCGACTTTTTTAAGGCATTTTGGCAACCTTCATGGTTGAAGCCATACATAATCTTATATATTTAAACTTTTTTTTTTTTATAAAAACCGTCAAAGAAAAATAAAACATTAGAAGACAAAGTGAAAACGCTAATTATCTAAATAGATTTAGAAGAGTCAAGTCAGTAGATCTAGACATTTGTTCTCACATCAATAAGATTCACGCACAATATTAGGTATAAACTAACCATAGAGTGGTCCTTTCGGACTCCCTGCAAAATGTGGTCCTTCTTAGCTTTCCACCCCTTATGGATCTAAGTAATAATTTGTAACACCTCATGCTCAGGATTTTGATCAAGATTTAAAATATGAATTTTATGTTCGATGACTTTGATATTCTCCTACAACCCTTGCGACATGGTCAGATTACCTATTCTCGCTTCTTAAGAGTGAAGATCGTCCCCACATACCCACACGAGTCTTTTCAACATATTTTGTCCTCACTCACATGCATCTCAATCCCTATAAGGTCAACCAACATAGAATTGTTCTAAGTAATACACGCTTACCAATGAAGTTTCTATGATTGAGCTATCGAAAAAGAATGTGCATCTCACTTTCATTCGGGCGTGATATTCGTTCGTTCATATACTTTTTCTTTACTCAAGTATCACATAACTCAAACACGTCTAAATATGTTGGACATGACAACACACGGTGTGAGATTTCTATGCAAGTCATCATCACAATTGACTCGTCTCTCCATTCGATCCGACATGGCGAAGGTTGCCAGAATCACACATCAACAAATATGACAGTGCACTAGTGTTTATTTTCTATGCCGATCATCATCTCCACATTGGATCATACATTGATGAAGGTCATCGTTACGTGTCCTTCTTTAACTCTAAGGGGACCTTTATTAACTTTCTTTTTCTTTTGTTAAATCACTTCATCATCATAGGTTTGATTTAATTTTAAATTTAGACCCCATAATCATAAATATTTTGTTTTTCTCCTAATAATTCAGTTGTAACTCACTATTTATCTCACACTTATATTTTACCATTTTGTCCTTAAGCACGAACCTTACCAAGATTAACTTCCTTCCGTAGTACCCTATCCTTAGGGAAAGTCGAATCCCCGCTGCCTCCTTAAAAGAGAGATGTTCTGAACCACTAGATGACAGCGGCATACTTGCCCGACTGCCATCCCATTAGGATCGTAGTATGAATAGTTTTTTGAAATTGTGAATATAAATATAATCGACTAATATGATGCAATTCGAAGGATTTTTATGTCTTTTATTATTCCATAGAATTTTTTAATTTAGAATTTATATTTATGAATCTATCATATAATTCTATATAGAATAATTTAACGTGGTTTACTAGTGATCAGATGAAAAATATTATAAAATCATGTTTATAACGTCTAAGATACCAATAAATTGTCAGTAATTTCGTTTATATTATTAATCTTGTCACTCGTGACAAAAACAATAATAAATATATAATATATTATAAAAATATTCATAAACAATTAATACATATTTATTCGAGATTCAAAATTTCATAAATAAACAAATAAATAATATATAAATATAGGGATAATAAAAGAATATTATTCCTAGATCCAAATTCCGAACTCACATGGGGGAAGAAAAAAGTACTTTATTTAAAAAAAAAGAAAAGTGAGTGGAAATAATCCAAATTAGACCGGTCCCGGTTTACGTTTGATTGCACGTTGAAATTTAAAATACTATTTTATATTTTATTCGAGTAATTACTTTTAATGATCATCACCTTTTTCAACGCAACACGTCGCTCGTTTATGTACACCTGGCCCATTAATTTATTGACATTATTTAACTTTTCTTAAAATATTAATATCATTCCACTTAACTCGTTATACTAAAAAAAATATTCAATTAACTTACCTAAGGTTGTTGATATATTAATAAATATAAGGTTGTGGTCATGTTTTTTTTGGTTTAAATTTCTAAGAAAGCTTGTGATTGTACTTAAATATTCAATTAACTTACCTAAGGTTGTTAATATATTCAATTAATGTCGTGTGGTAATGCATTTTAAATTTACTTTTTAAGTCATAATAGCAATCCTTTGTCTTCTATATTTCTATTTAGATAAGGTGATAAAAGATTTACTTTTATCTAGAAACTAGATTTGAAAAAGGTGAATATAGGGCCGTAGCTTTTTTTTACTTTTACCTTTGATAGAACGTTTCATGAAAAGGTATAAGATCGAAAAAACTAAAGTTTTTGTCATAATTTAGTGCAAGTTATTGCTAGTTCGAATTAGTCAAAATATTTGTAGTTAATATCTCGAAAATATATTAGTTATGAAATATATTTTATTTATTTGTATCAGTTAATATTATTTGATTAATAATATATTTTATTTTATTGTCAAAATTTAATTACTTTATATTCGTAGATATTAGATGGTAACTTGTATCTTTTTTATTTCAATTCTATTTTTCATTCTTAATTCTATATTATTATTATTATTATTTTGAAAAATAATATTTTCGGATCTATTTTCATAAGGGTAGGAATAGTCAAAGACATCTGGAATAAAAAGGTGAGTGTATGTGAGAAGTTGGTGGAAAAGGGGAAAAGTGCAATTTTATTCGATTCGATGGGCATCCAAACTCCAGTGACAGCCTTTTTTATTATTACATTTATAAAATAATAAATAAATAAAAACTGAAAAAGAAATTGAAAGAAAGAGCTGAAATATTTAATATTGGAGTCGGCGAAATTAAACCCTGGTCTCCTATTCTGGATAACCCTCTGAAATGTCACACAATCCCTTTCCTTTGCCCTCCATATTCACTAATATTTCCTTCAAAAAAAAAAAAATATCACTTTTTCATATTTAGTCAAAATTCTTTTGCATTACTTACTTACTGTATCCACACACATATATATATATATATATATATATATATATATATATATATATATATATATGTGGATATACTTGGAAATTTTTGTGACAAGCAATTGGAGATGGCTAATCGACAAAATGTAATGTCTTCCACTTGCTGGAGTTCCTCTGAGGGTAACTCTCTTGTCTCCTTATTATCTCTATCTTACTTATGTCTCATTTTTTTTTTAATTGTAACGTTATATGGTGTATTTGATAATCCATTGTCCTCCTCGGTTGTTTATTACACACGCGGTTGAATGGGCGCTTCTTAAGTGTCGCAACTTTGTTTGTCTCAACTTGAGGGTCACAACCTATTCTCTTTTATGTTATGGTTGTGATATTCTCCTTAAAAAAAATTTTGGGACACAATCGCATGGTGAATTGTGACATTTGAACATGATTTTAGATTGGAATATATACCTATAATCAAGATGCCATAATTAATAAATGGATCGATTATCA